AAACAATGAGGTTATTAATAAGAAGAGTTGAAATTAATGCATGCTATATTTCACAGATCTAGATCACTCTTTCATAATCAGCCTACAGATGATAACTGCTTTTCAGCCTTCCTTCGAACCTGAAAAGAAACAATGAGGTTATTAATAAGAAGAGTTGAAATTAATGCATGCTATATTTCACAGATCTAGATCACTGCTTCATAATCAGTTCCTATGAGCTTTTCAGCCTTCCCTCGAACCTGAAAAGAAACAATGAGGTTATTAATAAGAAGAGTTGAAATTAATGCATGCTATATTTCACAGATCTAGATCACTGCTTCATAATCAGCCTATGAGCTTTTCAGCCTTCCTTCGAACCTGAAAAGAAACAATGAGGTTATTAATAAGAAGAGTTGAAATTAATGCATGCTATATTTCACAGATCTAGATCACTCCTTCATAATCAGCCTATGAGCTTTTCAGCCTTCCTTCGAACCTGAAAAGAAACAATGAGGTTATTAATAAATTAAGAGTTGAAATTAAATGCATGCTATATTTCAACCTGAGATCTAGATCACTGAATCACTTCATAATCAGATCCTAATGAGCTTTTCAGCCTTCCTTCGAACCTGAAAAGAAACAATGAGGTTATTAATAAGAAGAGTTGAAATTAATGCATGCTATATTTCACAGATCTAGATCACTGCTTCATAATCAGCCTATGAGCTTTTCAGCCTTCCTTCGAACCTGAAAAGAAACAATGAGGTTATTAATAAGAAGAGTTGAAATTAATGCATGCTATATTTAACAGATCTAGATCACTCCTTCAACCTAATCAATGAGGTTATGAGCTTTTCAGCCTTCCTTTTCGAACCTGAAAAGAAACAATGAGGTTATTAATAAGAAGAGTTGAAATTAATGCATGCTATATTTCACAGATCTAGATCACTCCTTCATAATCAGCCTATGAGCTTTTCAGCCTTCCTTCGAACCTGAAAAGAAACAATGAGGTTATTAATAAGAAGAGTTGAAATTAATGATCATGCTATGATTTCACAGAACCTCAATGAGGTCATGCTGATCTTCATAATCAGCCTATGAGCTTTTTCAGCCTTCCTTCGAACCTGAAAAGAAACAATGAGGTTATTAATAAGAAGAGTTGAAATTAATGCATGCTATATTTCACAGATCTAGATCACTGCTTCATAATCAACCCTATGAGCTTTTCAGCCTTCCTTCGAACCTGAAAAAGAAACAATGAGGTTATTAATAAGAAGAGTTGAAATTAATGCATGCTATATTTCACAGATCTAGATCACTGCTTCATAATCAGCCTATGAGCTTTTCAGCCTTCCTTCGAACCTGAAAAGAAACAATGAGGTTATTAATAAGAAGAGTTGAAATTAATCACATGCTATATTTCACAGATCTAGATCACTGCTTCATAATCAATGCATGCTATGAGCTTTTTCATAATCAGCCCTATGAGCCTTCCTTTCGAACCTGAAAAAAGAAACAATGAGGTTATTAATAAGAAGAGTTGAAATTAATGCATGCTATATTTCACAGATCTAGATCACTGCTTCATAATCAGTTTATGAGCTTTTCAGCCTTCCTTCGAACCTGAAAAAAGAAACAATGAGGTTATTAATAAGAAGAGTTGAAATTAATGTATGATATTTCACAGAACTAGATCACTCCTGCATAATCAGCCTATGAGCTTTTCAGCCTTTCTTCGAACCTGAAAAGAAACAATGAGGTTATTAATAAGAAGAGTTGAAATTAATGCATTCTATATTTCACAGATCTAGATCTCTGCTTCATAATCAGCCTATGAGCTTTTCAGCCTTCCTTCGAACCTGAAAAGAAACAATGAGGTTATTAATAAGAAGAGTTGAAATTAATGCATGCTATATTTCACAGATCTGCTTCAATCACTGCTTCATAATCAGCCTATGAGCTTTTCAGCCTTCCTTCGAACCTGAAAAAAAACAATGAGGTTATTAATAAAAGAAGAGTTGAAATTAATGCATGCTATATTTCACAGATCTAGATCACTGCTTCATAATCAGCCTATGAGCTTTTTCAGCCTTCCTTCGAACCTGAAAAGAAACAATGAGGTTATTAATAAGAAGAGTTGAAATTAATGCCTGGATTTCAGCTATATTTCACAGATCTAGATCACTGCTTCATAATCAGCCTATGAGCTTTTCAGCCTTCCTTCGAACCTGAAAAGAAACAATGAGGTTATTAATAAGAAGAGTTGAAATTAATGCATGCTATATTTCACAGATCTTTTCAGATCCTTCGACCTGCTTCATAATCAGCCTATGAGCTTTTCAGCCTTCCTTCGAACCTGAAAAGAAACAATGAGGTTATTAATAAGAAGAGTTGAAATTAATGCATGCTATATTTCACAGATCTAGATCCTCCTTCATAATCAGCCTATGACTTTTCAGCCTTCCTTCGAACCTGAAAAGAAACAATGAGGTTATTAAGAAGAAGGAAATTAATGCATGCCATATTTTACAGATCTGAATCACTGTATGATTTTCATTTCAACCTGAAAAAGAACTGAGATCATGCTCCTTCACTGCTTCAAATCAGCCTATGAGCTTTTCAGCCTTCTTCGAACCTGAAAAGAAACAATGAGGTTATTAATAAGAAGAGTTGAAATTAATGCATGCTATATTTCACAGATCTAGATCACTGCTTCATAATCAGCCTATGAGCTTTTCAGCCTTCCTTCGAACCAGAAAAGAAACAATGATGTTATTAATAAGAAGAGTTGAAATTAATGCATGCTATATTTCACAGATCTAGATCACTGCTTCATAATCAGCCTATGAGCTTTTCAGCCTTCCTTCGAACCTGAAAAGAAACAATGAGGTTATTAATAAGAAGAGTTGAAATTAATGCATGCTATATTTCACAGATCTAGATCTCTGCTTCATAATCAGCCTATGAGCCTCAGCCTTCCTTCGAACCTGAAAAGAAAACAATGAGGTTATTAATAAGAAGAGTTGAAATTAATGCATGCTATATTTCACAGATCTAGATCACTGCTTCATAATCAGCCTATGAGCTTTTCAGCCTTCCTTCGAACCTGAAAAGAAACAATGAGGTTATTAATAAGAAGAGTTGAAATTAATGCATGCTATATTTCACAGATCTAGAATCACTGCTTCATAATCAGCCTATGAGCTTTTCAGCCTTCCTTCGAACCTGAAAAAGAAACAATGAGGTTATTAATAAGAAGAGTTGAAATTAATGCATGCTATATTTCACAGATCTAGATCACTGCTTCATAATCAGCCTATGAGCTTTTCAGCCTTCCTTCGAACCTGAAAAAAGAAACAATGAGGTTATTAATAAGAAGAGTTGAAATTAATGCATGCTATTTTCACAGATCTAGATCACTGCTTCATAATCAGCCTATGACTTTTCTTCCTTCGAACCTGAAAGAAACAATGAGGTTATTAATAAGAAGAGTTGAAATTAATGCATGCTATATTTCACAGATCTAGATCACTGCTTCATAATCAGCCTATGAGCTTTTCAGCCTTCCTTCGAACCTGAAAAGAAACAATGAGGTTATTAATAAGAAGAGTTGAAATTAATGCATGCTATATTTCACAGATCTGGATCACTCCTTCATAATCAGCCTATGAGCTTTTCAGCCTTCCTTCGAACCTGAAAAGAAACAATGAGGTTATTAATAAGAAGAGTTGAAATTAATTCATGCTATATTTCACAGATCTAGATCACTCCTTCATAATCAGCCTATGAGCTTTTCAGCCTCCCTTCGAACCTGAAAAGAAACAACGAGGTTATTAATAAGATATATATATATATATATATTCAGTGTGTGTGTGTGCGTGTGTGTGTGTGTGTGTGTGTTAAACCTTAACCACAGGGTGGCAGTTTTCATCCTCAAGCCTTGTTTTCGAATAAATATGGTATGGAATGTTTTACTCATTTATAGTTTTGAATAGAAATGTGATCTTCATCCTCAAGCCTTGTTTTTTTCTTTAATCAAGAGGTCATTGCTTTGATGGAAGTAGGGGTGTTTGTAGTATGTGGTGTATATATATATATATATATATCAAGAAATAATGCAGCTTAATTAATATTATAAATCGTCATTCAAAGCATAAATCAATAAAGTTAATGTAATTAATGGCGAATTCATTTCGCTAACAGATTAAGAAGGCACTATATATATATATATATATATATATATATATATATATATATATATATATATATATATATAATGGTCCTGAGCTGTACCATCTCGCATCTCGACTTCAGTCACTTTCTCACTGACGTGTCGTGGCTTTCCTCTGTCTTTTCTAGAAATATTTTCATAGCAATTCTTCTGATGAGCTTATATCCTTAGTGTCATAAGTTTATGAATTTAAGCGTCCAACTAGATTACCAACAAGGTCTCACCGTTTTGATGTCGAACTAGAAATATTTACACAGTGGTTGTTCTAATGAGCTCCTTGCAGAAGGGGCATGTTGAAATCATGTCGACGGTTACCATAATGTTACGACACTACTTTTAGTTAGATTACAACAGCTGGCAACAATATTTGCACAGGGAAATGACAAGTGAAAGGAAATGGAATGGATTTCAACAAGGCGATATTTTATATTCTGGTTTTTATATAACTGACTAACAAGAGGGAGAAAACACACAAGCAGGCATACAATAGAAGGAAGATCAGTACAATTTAGGAATTACGTGGGTCGTGCACGTGTGTGTGTGTGTGTGTGCGTGTGTGTCTGTGTGTTTCTGTGTGTGGTGTAAATAAAGTACAGTTACTAAGGGTAAAGATATCCCTATGTCCAGGGGCAAGGTCACGATGATGTTATCCCTCCCTCATGCTGGAAGGTAAAAAGAGATACGAGACAGAAGATGGGTTACTGTGTGGAGTTATATTAGTGTTGGGGAGATCCAGCGTTAAGAGTATATAGCGGAAGTAGATTTTAGAAGGAACCGGAAAAACAATCCTCTACTCCTGCTTAAAAGAACGAGGAGAAGTGTACACCGAACGATAGGCGAACCTATCTACACCTATTAGATACAAACAGACTGAGATACATAGATAGATAGATAGATAGATAGATAGATAGATATGAACAGACTGAAATAGATAGATAAATAGATAGATACGACTGAAATAGATAGATATGGATAGACTGAAATAGATAGATAGATAGATAGATAGATAGATAGATAGATAGATAGATAGATATGAACAGACTAAAATAGATAGATAAATAGATAGATACGACTGAAATAGATAGATATGAGTAGACTGAAATAGATAGATAGATAGATAGATAGATAGATAGATAGATAGATAGATATGGACAGACTGAAATAGATAGATAAATAGATAGATACGACTGAAATAGATATGGATAGACTGAAATAGATAGATAGATAGATAGATAGATAGATAGATAGATAGATAGATAGATAGATAGATATGAACAGACTGAAATAGATAGATAAATAGATAGTTACGACTGAAATAGATAGATATGGATAGACTGAAATAGATAGATAGATAGATAGATAGATAGATAGATAGATATGAACAGACTGAAATAGTAGATACGAACAGACTGAAATAGATAGATAGATAGATAGATAGATAGATATGAACAGACTGAAATAGATAGATAAATAGATAGATACGACTGAAATAGATAGATATGGGTAGACTGAAATAGATAGATAGATAGATAGATAGATAGATAGATAGATAGATATGAACAGACTGAAATAGATAAATAGATAGATACGACTGAAATATATAGATATGGATAGACTGAAATAGATAGATAGATAGATAGATAGATATGAACAGACTGAAATAGATAGATAGATAAATAGATAGATACGAACAGACTGAAATAGATAGATAGATATGGATAGACTGAAATAGATAGATAGATATGAACAGAGTGCAATAGATAGATAGATACGAACAGACTGAAATAGATATATAGATAGATAGATAGATAGATAGACAGATACGAACAGACTGAAATATATAGATAGATAGATAGATAGATTGATAGATACGAACAGACTGAAATAGATAGATAGATAGATAGATAGATACGAACAGACTGAAACAGATAGATAGATAGATAGATAGATAAGAACAGACTGAAATAGAAAGATAGATATGAACAGACTGCAATAGAAAGTTGGCTCGCTGTGCCGCGCCAGGAAATTTTTCTCGCCGGAATGGATCCTTCAAATCTACAAATCAATGGAGTATTGCTGCCATATATGGTCTGGATTCCCTTATGTTTGTCTCAATGTTCTTGATAAGATCCAGAGACGGGTATACAATGTAATTGGCCTCGATCTGGCATCTCGTCTGCAGTCGCTCTCTCACAGACGTGCCGTCGTCTCTCTCTGTCTTTTTTACAAATACTTTCATGGTAACTGTTCCGATGAGCTGCTTTCTCTGGTCCCCAGACTTCATGAATTTAAGCGTTCTACTAGGCTGACATATCGCTCTCACCCTTTTACTGTCGAAACTGTTAAATGTTGCCGTCTCTTCTACTCGAATAGCTTCATGTATCGCACTTCTCACCTGTGGAACTCCCTCCGCTTTTCCTGCTTCCCTAATAGCTATAATCTCCAACTATTCAAATGTAATGTTAGTCGACGTCTCCAGATGTCTTGATCTATCCACTATCCTTCTCTTCACCCTTTCCTCTATCACTCCTATTTGCTCTCGCTCCAACTCTCTGTAACCCCTTGCGTGCTAGTGGCTTCCCGCCTTGCTTGGGGTGAAACGCTTAAAAAAAAGAAGAAAAATATAGATAGATAGATACGAACAAACTGAGATAGATAGATAGATAGATAGATAGATAGATAGATAGATAGATAGATAGATTGTCAACGTAATGTATACTAGGATCATTATCTGAGAGTTCGTTAAGCCCGCCTGGAATAAAGAATTAGTATTAGAAGGAATTTTCGATAACTTTCAATGATCACTGTTGAATATTGCTTCATTAGATCTGTTCAAAATGTTGAGAAAAAGATTTATGGATCTGATTAATTTTCGACACAGAACTGCACTTGTCAAAGAAAGCTTACAAAACCCACAAAATTAACATAACTTTGACAAAACTAGTCGCATAATATTAACTATCATCTCTATAAAGATGCTTTACTAATCAATACACTCAGTGAATTAGTCGTTCATGGGAATAGGTTTGACCATAATCTCGATTCCTAGATAAACCAGTTTTAATTTAAAAAAAAAAGAAGAAGAAAAGAATGTATCTTATTAAGGCTAAAATGCATTGGAAATGCCCTATGAAGGAAATCTTTTCAAGAAATTTTACGGTTGTGATATATACTATATATTTCCTTTTCACTTAACACTAATGCTGATAAAATTTAGGATAATTAATTGCAATAAAAACTTTAAAAAACACAATGGCGATAAGCATCTAGGTACATCGAACGTCAAAAATAAAAGTTGATTGTCTCTTTAACGTTTCGACGTAATATAAGAATTGATGATGTTTCAAAGGAAATTTATTTGATGAAGCGTCAAAAACATTAATTTGACATTGTTGTCTACGGAGTCAACAATGATTACAAACGAAAGAATCTATATAAACTTATTATTGGATTGGTTGCAAAACAAGAAGAGATTTATCAGCAATTCATTTGCGGTGTCATCAATACCCGAATCAGATCACAATGATATCACCTCTGCTACATACATAAAAAGACGCACCTCACACACACACACACACACACACACACACATATATATATATATATATATATATATATATATATATACTTATATATATATATATGTGTGTGTGTGATTTTCTATATATATACACACACACACACACACACACACACACACATATATATATATATATATATATATATATATGTGTGTGTGTGTGTGTGTGTGTTTGTCTGAGGATCCCAAAAGCGTGAAACCCAGTGTTACAAACTCACGTCCATACAAATAAGTATATATATATATATATATATATATATATATATATAAGACCTTGAATAAGTTCTCGCTGTTCTCCAGCAGATGGTGTTCTTAGAACTGTGTGCGTGTAGTTTCAGATGGTAATACATCTATAAGGAAGTACTATAAGCAATCTTGAAATTTAGTGGATGTCATTTCACCGAAGCATAAACAACTTTTGTTTTTTAGAGCGTTAAACATATCGGATTTCGTGCCAACAAAGTGTATTTACAGGGAATTTTACTCCACTACTTTATTCAAAAGAAATCTGAAGCTGAAGCACAAACAATTCTTGTTGAGACTTACGGCGACCATGTTCTGTCGGAAACAACATGCAGAGATTAATTTCGACGCTTCAAAAATAATGATTTTGATGTTGAAGATAAAGAACGCTCTGGCAAAACATTTGAAGACGTAGTATTGGAGGCATTACTTCATGAAGACTCATGAATCATTAAGAGTTGATCACACAACAGTTTCAAAATGCATTAGGAATGATTTAAAATCAAGGACATTAAGTGCCGTACGAGTTGAAGCCAAGAGACGTTGAACGTCGTCTTGTCGGGTGTGAATAGCTTCTTCAACGGCAGAAAAGGAAAGGGTTTTTGCGTCGTATCGTGACCGGCGATGAAAAGTGGATACACTACGATAACCTTAAGCGTAGAAGATCGTGGGGGTAAGGCTGGTCATGTATCAACATCGGCGGCAAGGAAGAAGAATATCCATGGTTTGAAACTTCTGCTCTGCATTTAATGGGATCAACTGGGTGTAGTTTATTATGAGCTGCTCAAACCGAACGAAACCATCACGGGAGATAACTATGAATTACAGTTGATGTGTTTGAGTCGAGCATTGAAGAAAAACCGCTATACGAGCAGAGACACGACAAAGTGGTTTTGCGACGCGACAACGCTAGGTCATATGTTGCAAAACGGGTGAAAACTTACTTGGAACCGCTTAAATGTAAAGTCCTACCCCATCTACTGTATTCACCAGACATCGTCCCGCCCGATTATCACTTGTTCTAATTGATGGTATATGGCCTGGTTGAGCAGCACTTTCATTCTTATGAAGATTCCAAAAAAAAAAAAAAAAGAAAAAAAAAAAAGGTTGATACCTGGTTAGTCTCAAACGACGCATGGTATTTCCGACATGGAATTCAAATTCTACCAGAAAAATGAAAAAAGTAGTGGCTATCGATGGACAATTCTTTCAGTGGCATGTTTCTTACTAATTTTGGTAAATAAAACAGTAATTTTCATGAAAATTCAACGAGAACTTATTCAAAGTCCTAATATATATATATATATATATATATATATATATATATATATATATATATATATATATATATATATGTGTGTGTGTGTGTGTGTGTGTTTGTGTGTGTGCGTCTGTGTGCGTGCAAATGTATAGAAAATAGGAAAGAACACGTTAGGTAAATAATCCAAGTTCTTTAGTACTGAGGATGAAAAAGGGCTTGATACTTTAATTCAATTTAATTTTAATAATTATATTGAAGTTTTTGGCTCTTTTTTTGAAAAATGAGAATTCTTATGTAGAGAAGGAATCATATTTTTAAAAAATAATTATATATATATATATATATATATATATATATATATATATATATATATATATATATATATATAAAAAAAAAAGAACAGTAAGATATAAAATCCGGTGTTCTTATAGATATTTTTATTTTTACAAAATAAACATTCAGACAACATCCATTCAAATGATGTCAGGTTTCATTGTAAAATACATCCCTACCCCTTACCAAATTGTAGCTAATAACTGATACAATGATACTGACATAAGGAAAATCTAGACATCCCTTGTTCAATTTAAGTAGAATATTCTGTAACCATGGAAACGTGATTTTAGCTGTGTCTTTAAAACCCGGTAATTTTTAAAAGTTACTCCAAAATTCGCTTGAAGATGAAATGGAACTAATGCTTTTAATTTAACTGCAAAATTAAATTCGGGGTTTTTAGCTTCTATTTTTGAAACATGGTTGGAACTGTGTAGCGAAAAAAAACCATATTTTAAATCAATTAATTTATAATATTATATATATATATATATATATATATATGAAGAAAAATATACGGAAAAAAACAAAAATCATAATATGCAATTATGCTGTTTTAATGTTAATAATATATTAATATATATTAATATATATAATATATATTAATAGATTATATTAACATTATATATATTAATATATAACATTATATATATATATATATATATATATATATATATATATATATATATATATATATATATATATATACATTAATATATATATAATATATATTAATACGTTATATTAACATTAAAACAGCATAATTGCATATTAGGATTTTTGTTTGTTTTTTTCATATATTTTTTCTTCATACTGTCGGATCTATATCCATATATTTGCTTACATATATATATATATATATATATATATATATATATATATATATATATATATATAAAGGCAACAATAATTTAATCAAACAAGTTTTATTAAATTCAATCGACAAAGACCGTTTAATTTTTATTCTTATTTTCCCAGTCTACAAATAAGTTGTTTTGCACCCAAATCAAAATTGTGCATAAACTGTCCAAAGTTAATTAATTTTGTCAAAATACTTTTGACAGTCTCGGTCACTATGAGCAACATAATGTTGCCAGTAACATAAAGAAAAGTTTTCAAGTGTAAATGCACTTTAACCGTATAGATAATGCCATGTGAGTATTGTTTTCATAACTCGACGCAGCGAATATATTAAATATTTATACGTATTTTAAACGAATAATTCATACGCATTTTAAAATGTCGTTCTCTGAAGGTGAAGGATATTTATTTTTAAATATTTGAGCAAAAAAATGAAAAATAACTACCGATATGTGTTCATTATTTTAGATGCCCTAGTTATCATATAGGACGTAGATTTAGCATTTGTTCGTATAGAAAATGTGCATACATGTAAGTGATCGTATTTCTAGCCGTATAAAGGAGAGTTTTAGTCTTAAAAAAACTTAGATAATATATAATAGCGTTTGTGTCACCCGTAGTAAACTAATACTTTACATTTCCTGTCTGCTAAACTATTATTCTGATGATAGCACAATGAATATATATATGATTATAAATTATCCAAAACCAAAATAATTTTAAAATATTAAAAATATTCCTGTTTTTTACTCGAGTCTCCTGATTAACCCAGAATGAAATATATATGATTTAAATTATTCAAAATCAAAAGGATTTTTAAAATATTCCTGTTTGATGCATCAGTCTCCCAGAATGAAATATATATGTTTATAAATGATTAAATTATGTTTATAAACGAAAATAATGCTAAAATACTAAAATATAAACACAGATGAATTATCAGTTGTATTATTTTTTATGAATATTCCTTGTCAAAAAACGGTATATTTAAATATAAAGTTGTCATATAGGAAGAAAATGAGTAACTACCGAGAGCGAGGTTCGAGCGTGACACTCTGGATTTATGAATATGTTTTCCGCCAGGTGTATAAATAGCGGTGTCGGGCTACTGACTGAAGTGATTATTGAGTGGAACTATCCAGTTGAATTAGTGTGAATAATTGTGTGTCGATGATTTGGGTTTTGATTTAGGATTTGCCGGATGTTAAACCGAGCCGCGCTACAACAAGGTATTCACTGAAATGATTAAGTATCTTTGGTTGTCTTTTACTTCCTTGTTCTTGTTATGTATTTATTTGCGGCTGTAATTAAATACTGTTTTATTTAACATCGAAGTTTTGAGTTATACTTAATCATTAACGGCCACCGTACCTCACAAAAAAGTGAAACCGTCTTTTTTGTGTCATCAAAAGAATAGTTCGTTGACATCAGCATAGAGTAAAGCTGATCAGCTTTCATTCTGGCTTTCGAAAAG